ATATATATATATATATAAATCACTGTCGCTAATAGTCAAACATGAAAACTAAACGATTTAGAAGAAGGCATACGCTTCCATTCACTGAAAGAAGTGAAAATAATCCTACTAAAACATCAGAAAACTTAAATTTCTCGTTAGTCAATGCTTAACTGTGAAACGAAAAGACTAAAATAGCAGCATGTTATAAAGTATTTAAAATAGAATATTCGCGTTCTATAAATTAGAAATATGGAAGTATTGATGAACGTTTTGTAGGTCATAGATAAATATACACTATTTTATAGTACATAATATTAAAAATGAGTTAGAGCAAACACTATTACAAATCTGAAAGGTTTTTTGTACTGCTCAGTGAAACAAAGCTATGAAATGAGTTTGCGCGGGGAAAAGTGTAGTAAAAACGAGGTGATTTTATTAAAATATGTGGTAAATTTATATTCATGCGATTCGCACGTGATATAATGTAATAGTATAAATTGTGATTATTATTTTGAGACAAATTGCAATAACAGTTCTGTAATTATCTTTTATTCAGAATAGGTATTAGCTTTTGATGAAATGATCCTTGATCCTGATCAAGTGCTTATCAGTTTTTTCTACAACAGTACTGCAATTTTGAAATACTAGAAAAATGGTACAAAATCAACGACCGAATTTCATAGTGTAATTAGAAAAATAGTACATCTTCATGTAATGCAATATGCTTCATGTAATATTCATCATCAATGCAATAGCACAAATAAGGTCATCACGTACGTAAGTGCTACTCTAACAGTAATGAGCTAATCCAAAAAAAGTACAAGAGGACGAAATTGGTAGAGTATCTTTGAAAATAATATTTTTCTTCTCTTTCAAAAAGTACATTTTCCTAGTCTTTTCGCGGTTTGTTTAAAACATTACGGCCCATACCTGAAAGAACGTTAAAAAATTATTCTGTTTCTCAACTTTGCTTTTCTTTGTAGAGTTGTGGACATTAATTGTGTGAGAAATAAATTTAGCATTCTTTTTTATCACACTATGATAAGCAGTGAATAATTGAAAAAGAAATAAAATATTAAATTAGCAATAAATGAGTTTTTCGTAGCATAAAGCTGAAATGATAAATATTCTGAGGGTTCTAAAAAAACTTTTAAAAAAAATAATAAATTGGTCATTTATTACTTATTTTATTGCATTATCTTAAATCAGTGTTGTCTGTTTAAGCTCTAAATTGATAACGATCACAATTCATGCGCGCCTCTATGCATCTAACTTGAAAATGGAAAGTAGTTTTAATTACTCAACAACACTTAGTAAAAAATAATAGTAAAAATTAATTATAAAATATTGATGAAAGTAACTTCTCATAGAGCAATAAAACAAAAATCTCTACACTTTACAAACAAAAATTCAACATTCATCTGCACACTTGAGAATTTGCATATATGTGCAATTAAAAATTTGCATAAAGTATCAGATTCATAATCAATATTGCAAGTGCTTATTTACATGTAAAAACTTATTGCTAATTGAAGTTAAATTTAATGGCGGCTAAAGTTGCGCATAATTGTGCATTGACACCTCAAAATCCCCTCTATGCTTTTCTTTATGATCAGGTTTTTGTGAAAAAATATTGTTACAGTAACCAACGCTTTTTGTTATTATTGTATCTGAAAGGTCGTAAAGACATTAAGAATGAAAATATATGAGTTTTTAATTTTAGGAGATTTAGTAATTAATTACTACATATAAAGCTACTTCTTAAAGTAGGAAACTTTCATCTGTTCAAGTTAATTTCTCATAAAAATATAACTTTTAAAATGATGAAGTGTAACTTAAGACCAATTTGGATTCTTGCAGAAGCATATGTCAGCAAGAGGTTTGCGTTACTTGCATAAAAAGTCAGGGATGGACGAATGTCAGCTGGCGATTGTTATTTTGATTGGTACTTCAGTCTATCTGACTACCGGTAGTCACGCTCGGTTCGTGGCTAATTCTATCCTTATTGCGGTACCTGTATTGCTCACATTTGTTTACCCCAATGAAAAACCACCATTCAGGAATTTATTGTATTATTGGTAAGCACCATATCCTTAAAAACTTATAATTTATTTTGGCATACTTTAATCAAAAAAGTTTATCTCGTTAGATAGTTTTGTTAATTCCATTTCAAAAGGATCACATTTGATATCTGCTGCCATTGCAGAATCCGAAAATATTTAATATATATTGTGCTTAACAGTCATAGTAACTTGACATAATTTCTACTATGCTAATCAAACTTCCAGCAAAAACTATCTTTGAATAATTTTTTCTAAAAACCTATCAGTTTTTTTAATCTCATCAAATTCAAAACTTTTTGCTATCAACATTAGGCTGGTGTATCTGTTTGCAACCTTGTTCCTCGATGCTGGACTAGGAAGACAAAAATTTTATTATTGCATGAAAGTATCTCTCCTTATAACACTCATTGCATTCCCCGAGAGTTCTGCTAAGTCTAAAGTTAGTCTGTTTTTCAAAGTTCTTTAATTAAAATCACGATATTGTTTATTAAAGTAAACTTTTTAAAGTGTTTTCTATTTATTTAGAAATCCGATGAAAGTATTCAAAAGGAGACCATCAGCAGTTCTGAAAGCATTCAAAAAGAGACCATCAGCAGTTCTGAAAGTATTCAAAAAGAGACCATAAACAGTTCAGATACGGTTTCCCATCGTGATGAGACTTCTGAAACAAGCTCTTCAGAAGATGAAGAACTTTCTTTTTTGCTTGAAGATCAACATTTTCCGAAACAAAAGTCAGTATTTCCTAATTATAAAGCAAAAACGGATCAGTATGCATCTGCACAAAAAACTGAAGCTAATGCCATAAGAAAACACCAACGTGTACCTAAACTTTTTTCTGTACAAGAACCTCAAGAACTTGAGTTAAAATCTTTAAATGACTATAAATCCGTTCCTGTACGGAAACTTAAAGCTGTTATTGTTCAAGAATCCAAGTCTGCTCCTCTTTTGAATTTTAAAATTGTTCCTGTACAGAAACCTTCAAAACTCGCAACCTCAGAGCAACTTGAATCACTTTCTGAATTTTATTCTACTTCCAAGCATAAACAGAAATCGATTTGCATGCAGAAGTATGACAATATTTCTGATAAAGAAGTTAAAGTGGCAAAAAGTACTCAAGCACCTGTGGAACAACATAGAGGCAGTTCAACGCAGATGTCCAAATCACAGATGTTACCTTCTGAAAATTTTGGCACTACAGTCATAAAGATAAAGAAAAGCAGAACTCATGAAGATGAACAAAATGCACCAGTTGAGTTCTGGAATGTAGAAGTAAAGCAGCCTCATAGCGTTGTTTCACAAGAAGCAGTTTTAAAAACGCCTATTATTTCACATTCTGAGACTATTTCAAAAATTCCATCTGAAAATTCAGAACTTATTAGTGTCAAATCTGAAAAAGAATCTGAGATGCCAAAAACAACTACGGAAATAATGCCTTCTCAGCACGTTCATACTGATAATGCGTTCAGAGCTTGTGATAACAAAACCACAAATATTAATTCAAATAAAATTGAAAGATTCAATGCAGGAAAGGTAATAATTACTTCTTCTAGAGAGAATTCTAAATCACTTGCTAAAGTTATGTTTCATTGAAGTTTGATTGTATTGAAATATAAATATGCCCTGTCATAAACTTTTCAAGAAATTGAGATAGAACTTTGATTAGGTGTAAGAATGTTTCGTTCAGCGTTCAATCAAACTACTAAATTGTTATGGAAATTACGCAGAAAATTTTCAAAACAATATTTAGAATCCTTTCTGCACAGAAATTAGCCAAGATTCCAAGCACTTTAGCTCATTTCAGTTTGCTAATTTTTTCAGCCTATTTTATTTTTTGAATTCAATCAGACTTTTTTCATTTTTTCAGGATGTATCAGAAAAAAATAGCAGTTAAATTTATGTAATTCATATGGGATTGCCTCAGTGACTAATACTCGAGTTAAATGTATCAATATTTTATCAGGTATATTATTCAATGTTTTTTTGACATATTTTGAAAGTATTAAATACAAATATTGTGTATAGAATATCAAGAATCTAAACTGCAAATTATTTCTGTAAAATGGTTCAGAACTGTTAAAATAACAAATCATTTTTCGAAACAACTTTGTTTAGAATCTGCTTCAGCTCATCAACGGAGCAAACAGAGCAGACAAATTCCATCGTTCTGTATAACTTCTACAATTGTAAAGCTAAGATAAAAACTTCACAGAAAGTACAAAAATTCTCAAGCAAAACGCAAATTGCTAGCAGTCGGAAGCACAGAGTTATAATTTTATATGCTCGTCTTCAGAAGATTCACACATTTTAAATCATCATTAAAGCACTTTCAAAACATTTATTTGAATTATCTTTGTAAGTTTTTCCAAAATTAAACGTTTGAATGCTGAAACAAAATCAGAAATAGATAATTGTTGTTTCAACTCTCATCATATCAATTAACTGCAGCAAGGAAATTGCCAGTTTTGTGATAATTTTGAAACAAAATCAGTCTAAATATAGTTTGAAAATTAATTTTTATATGCTGGAATAGCTTTTCATTCCCATTTTGCAAGTTTTAAGAAGTAATTCAAAGGGTAGATAGAAACCTAAAAACAATAACTAAATCAACTAGATCATTCTAGTCTAGATCATTTGTACATTTTCATTTAGAGTCAGTCATTCTACAATTCACCTAAATAAAAATAATTAAACTTAGCTTCGAATTTGCATAGTTTAGCATATAAATTAGTCTATATTTTGGAATTAAGTGTGTTTCAGCTTGAAAAGTCAAAAAAATACATTGAGGCAAGCATAAAATAATTAGCAGTGAGCTTACTGTTTTGCTAGAATTTAATATGGAAAAATTGCGCCTTTTTCCTTACATAATAATTGTTTTAATAAATAATTATAAGCGGTGTCAGAATAAATATATAATGATGTTTTGTGTTTTGCTGAATACTTTTATGAAGTTATAAGTAGTGATCAGAAGAAGGGCAGATGTTTCGAATCATTTTTTCCATTTTCAAAACTTAGAATCTTGACTAAACATCCCTTAATAGTTTTGCAAACATAAAAAAATGTTCTTTTTTTTAATTTATCAGTGCTTACTTATGAATAATTTGATATTTTGAATAATTTTTTTCTAAATTATTTCAAATTATCCAATCGATATTTTACTTTTTTTAGACGAAAAATTTTCCCAGGGATTTAGAGAATTCCATACTCTAACCGCTTCAGCATAAGCACTTTTTGGCATTCGATGCTGCATTTCTTGTCGCATCTGATCGAACATTTGGTCACTGAGACTCATGTTTCTTTCCATATCGAGAAGATCAGTTAGGAACTTGCGTGCTATATCGCCACAAGTTGTGTTATTCAATCTAGCTCTCAACGTTGCGTCACGTAGCTTCATAGTCTGCTCCAAATCCCATCGAAATTTTTCATATTTGGCCTCAATTCATTCGGAAATTATATTTTCAGTACAAATTGTTTTTCAACAATTTTTTTTGGATAAATTCTTTTTTTTGTCAAGAATTACTGTAAGTTACTGCACAAAAAAATCAATTTACCATTACTTCAACACCTTGTTTCTCAGCCCATTTTTGACACATATCATAAAATTCTGTTCTTGGCATTGTGTTTTTTAACTTATAAAGTTCTAATACTTCGTTTCGCTGATCTGCTGGTAAATCATCCCAAAAATTTGAAATGCAATGAACATTCCAAATTATGTAACTTTCAAATAACCAAAATACTACGTTCAGAAGCATTTCGACTTCTTTACGTAAGTTCAATCTGCAAATAAAATTTTATGCTTCATATCTTCAATACATTGGCAACTAAAAGATTCTTAAATAAAAAAAAGAAATTTTTTTTTGCCAAATAATTTGTTACGTAAATGTATTGAATCCAAGATTAATTTTGAATATAAAAGCCTAGTTAGTTACTAGTATACTTAAATGCTTATTTGTCTAAAATTTAAATTAAAATTTTATCACTTATTTACATTTCCTAAGCCTAATTTAATTCTTGCGTATTAAATTTATGCTTTCTTTTGTAATTGAAAAGTTTTATCCATTACTTTATGACATTTAATTAACTACTTCAATGTATTCGAACTTTTAATAAAATTACTAAACTTAGCTTTCTTTTACTAATAACATTCACATATAAAACTCCAATTACTCTGAAAATTTCTTACTTCTTAAATAACTTCGAAAAAATTAAACATAAATAAACTTTGAAAAAGAATGCTATTTCTGGATGGGATTCCTACACATAAGCCTTTTGCAAGTTGCAGTCAAATGATTTTGATTTCCATATTTAAAAATTCCAAACACAAAGTAGGAAAAATACGAAAATAACAGCTAATATCGCCGTATCTTTTGTTATTCAAATTTTTTAAAAATATGAAAAGCTATGAATTTCATTATTTTTGCATAGTTCCTTTATGGGAACAAAAAATTCTACCATTTTGATTATGCATTTTGTATTTTTGAATATTAATTATGTTTCAATTTCTAAATAATTCTGCTATCTTCTCATTTTTATTTGCAAATAAACATTAAAAGTTTAACAAAGCTAATATACTTGAAGAAAATTTAAATCCTGAAAAGAGCTGACTTAATCTTAGTATTATTTTGAAAAGGAAAAGTTTAATAAGAATTGTATGCTTGAAATTAATATTTTTCTTTCAAAAAGTTATAAATATATCGACCAAAATTAATAACGATTATTGTAAACAATTCAATTTCGCATTTTAACTTGACAACTACATTATTTCAACTTGATAAATTAAAGGATCATTTCACTTTTTCTAAATTATTCTACCATCGAAATTTTGAAACTTTATATCAAATCTGAAGGCAACACTTTATAAGATTTCAGAGATTTTTATAATCTTTAAAACACATCATGTATTTTTATTGTTACTGCAGAAGGATTTTGGTCTCGGTAACATAACTTGTTGATATTTTTGAATTTACAATAATATTGCTCTGATAAGCAGTATTATCAACTGCAGCAGTTTGTTAGAAAATATTAGTAGTAACTTTTTGTTGCTAAATTTATTATGAACTGACTTTATATATCTATCATATCAGATGATTTGTAGATTAACTGCATTTTTGAAGGATGGAATGGGCGATTGCATTCTGCAAGCATCTTAATAATCAGTCAGCGATTCAGAGCAGTAGTGGAAGTTGTAGTAATCTTTTAAAAATGATTGACAAAATTTGAAAATACGTCGAGCAATAACAATTTTTCTCGCATTAGCTTAGATTTGTTTTTATTTTGCTTTCTCAGATTCTTGCCTTTTATTCGCATACTTTTATTTAATCTTTACAACATGATAATTGATAATCTTTTTTAAATTTTATTTTGCATTTAGCAAAATGATTAGTTTAAATGAAAGAACATTTTTTTAAAATCATTAAAAAAAGTCTTAGTATGTCTATTTTGCTTTTGAGGATTTATTCGGCATTAAGGTTGAAATCAAATGAGAATCTATACTTTGACAAATAATATACAGAAAATATGACTTAAAAATCTATCGATCGCTATTTTCTCGCTATTTTATAGTAATAATAAAATTAGTCCTAAATCAAAATTGAATACAGCACTGCA